TATACAAATGCCAAACAAGCATATGAAAAATATCATATGAAAAAATACTCAAGATCATCTATCATTAGAGAAATGCAAATTAGGACAACACTGAAATACAGCTACAAACTTAGAAGAATTGCTAAAATCCAGAAAACTGACAAGATTGCCGAGAAGGATGCGGAGCAGCAGGAACTCTCATTCAATGCTGGTGGGAATGCAAAACAGTATTGTCATTTGGAAAGGTGGTGTGACAATTTCTTGCAAAGTTAAGCATAATTTCACCATGTGATCCAGCAAACACACTCCTAGGTATTTATCCAAATGAACTGAAAACTTGTGTCCACACAAAATACTGCATGTGAATATTTAGAGTAGCTTTATGAATAATTCCAAACTGGAAACAACCAAGAAGTCTTACAATAGTGAGTGGAGTATTACTGAGCTGAAAGGAGCTTTTAAGAAAGGAGCTATTAAGCCACAAAAAGCCATGAAAATGAATCTTGAATGCATATTGTTAAGTGAAAGAAGACAGTGTAAAAGGCCATAATGTATGATTCCAATTATGTGACATTCTTGAAAAGGCAAAACTATAGGGATAGTAAAGAGATAGTTGGTTACCAAGGGCTTTGGGGGAGAGTAGGAGAGAAATAGATGAAACATAGGAAATTTTTTTAGGGCAAGAAACCATTTTATATTATAATTATGGATACATGAACCTACACATTTGTCAGAAACCATAGAATCCATAGAACCTTACAGCACAAAGGGTTAACCTAAATATATGTAAATTTAAAAAAATCATGTGGGAGGGTAGGATTACTTGGATGGACTACAGAATGTGACAAAAGAATTACCTGTATTAGCAGTGTATGAAACAGCCTCATTTAAGGGGATTGGTGAAAAATTCTGAATGAAATAAGTCTGGAAATGAGTGGAGTCTATAAGACAAAATGAACAGTACCTAAGTACTGTACTTCAGTTGGTAAAGGTGTTTCCCATGGAGTACAGGGTAAAAATTGTGATACTTTTTAAAGGTATATTGAACAATTAAGTAAATGATGGTGAATCATAGGAGTTAAATTTCTTACTGTTGCAATGGCAGTTCGCAGTTAAGAGAAGGATGCTAGAATAATCCATGTGGTAATAGATTAGAATTGGGTGTGTGCAGGGTTGCAAAACTTGGTATGTGTGTTATTATCGAAGTCATCACTCTATTTGCAACATACTGATTAAAAGAGAAAACAAAACAGTACCACTTAGGGCAACATAGAAGTCACTAAATGAAAAGTTTATTTATGTTACAGAATGTGAAGTCCCTTAACTGAAAATGTGGTACAAAATAAAATAAAAGCCATTAATAAAATACTAACTTGATAAAGATTCAATCGCAACAATGACAACAATAAATATTTTCTATGTTTGATGGTTGTAACATGGAAAACATTGCTTCTATTCAATGTAAATATATTTGGGAAGGGACTTTTGGCCAAAATTTTATTGCCTCATAAATGGGTGTTCTGAGACCAATTTCAGTGTGTGTGCGGGGGGGTTCCCTGCACCAACAATCAATTCTTGGACACCAGTAGGGTGTCTGAAAATTCAACTCAATTCTGACCCAGGCTATGAGGAGAAGGCATCAGTTTCCGGAGGTTAAAGCCTCAGTCCTACAAGACTGCCCCTCCGTCACCAAGTTCAGCCTCCAGTTTCAAGTCCTGGTTGTTGACTGTACTTCTGACCGACCGGTTATAAATCAGAGGTTCCCATAACTCCTTCCTTGGGTTTGATTAATTTGCTAGAGTGCCTCACAGAACTCAAGAGAAACATTTTACTTACTAGATCACCGGTTTGTTGTAAAAGGAAATAACTTAGGAACAGCCAGATGGAAGAGGTTACGTAGAGCCAGGCATGAGAAAAGGGCACAGAGCTTCCAGGCTCTCTCCAGGGGTGCCCCTCACTGAACTCCATGTTCACCAACCTGGAAGCTTCCCAAACCTGTCCTTTGGGGTTTTTATGGAGGCTTCATGACATAGGCATGCAATTAAGGCATTGGCCACTGGCTCTCCATTCAGCCTCTGGCCCCTCTACCCTCCCCAGAGGCTGGGGTGGGTCTCGGCCTCTAATCATGGAGTTACTCTGATCATGTGGTGCAGCCAAGCAACTAGGCCCCCATCCTTAGGTTACATAAGGGTTTCCCCAAAGCCACCATTAACATAAGACACATTTCCCGCCACCTCTCCCCACCCCCCAACTCCTCCCACACCATTATCACAGGAAATTTCAAGGGTTTAGTTGCTGTGAGCCAGGAAATGTGGAGGAAGACCAAATATACATGAGAAATACATTTTGCTCATCTGAATGACCATATATATATATATATATCTTATATATCACCTCAAATATATTTTAGTTTTCAAAAAAATCACTTTTGAGTAGTGACATCAGCAAAATTGCCGGGTAGGAAGCCTCGACCCTCCTTCCCCACAGGGGATATTGACTTAACAAAAATACACAGATTGATTACCTTTGTGAGAAAGCCAGAAACCAGTTAAGAGACTCAGGCACCTGATAAAACTTTTACATCTTAATCTCTTTTCAGTCTTTTGATGTGACGATTCTGCTATGGCCTGACGGTTCTTTTCCAGTCTAAAGTCCGGGAACCTCCATGTATACGCTGTGGTGGGACATGCGATTCTCTGGCAAGTTGTACCAAGAGGAAATTGAAAGCTTATTTTTCAAATTCTAACATTTTGGTTTGATTTATAATGCTTTCTCAGCCAGGGTCTGGTTCATAATATGCATGTGCAAAACCCTGACCTCCTTCAATTGTTTTTGTCTTAATTGAAGAAAAATATAACTTCTAATGCAAATACAAGGAGAAGTGATTCTTGGCATCTGAGTCAGCAGTACAGTAATGAGCTAAATGGAGTCTATGCTTTCCTGGTTTTTCCCATTCAGACTCATTTATTCTGACAATAAGTTCCATTCTGGTGGGGAGAGAGAAAAGAAGCACAAGTCCCTAAGTCTTGGTGACCAACCCTTTTCTGCCACCAGTGTGTCCTGTCCTTCTGGCAAGTCGAAATTCCTCTGCTCATCAGATATCTCATCTGGGCAGCGAGCTGCAGTTATACAATGATTACAAAAACAACATTGATTGTGTAATTCCTAAGGGACTCTCCCTCTACAGGCATTGTCTCAGCCAAGACGTGCGTATTTGACTTTTCCTTGGTGCCCAAATTAGGACCCTAAGAATCAGGGATGAGAAGCAGCTTGCCCACGGGCTTGCATCTGGTGGGCAGTGGAGCCAGTGCAGACGTTGAACCTGGGGTGCTGGACTCCATCACTGCCTGCCCAAACCACTACCCTGTATGTCAGAAAGGAGAGGTCTAAGGCCAGTAAGTCACAGAGGACCCACTAAATCCTAGGCACTCAGTAGGGGGCTGTCACACATTATATCGCAATGGCTCTTTAGTTATTATTATCTTTTTTTTTTAAAGGAAATCAAAGACCAGAGTAATTGAGTCACTTTAGCAGAACCACGGAGGAAGCTGAATTCATACCTAGGTTTGTCTGTGTGCAATGTCCAAGCTCTCTCACCTCTGCCCACTGCTTTATGCTGTTCTCTCCCCTCTGTGGCCATCAGACAAGGGACAGGAATTGCAGTGGATACAGGAAGATGCTTCTGTCATATTCCCCTTTATTTCATTCATTTCATAAAGCTACTGCTGCTAAAGGCTTATGTTTCTTTTAATATGTAATCACCAAGAGGTGCTTGATTGCACTCCAGTATTCTTACACCATCTAGCACATTATTAGTTTAATATCTTGCTATTTATATTAAAAGAGATCATCCTCTATGACACCATGTGATACCCTTACCATTATGTGATATTAACTCCATTATGTAAATATTTTAATATTCCATTTAAGAAATAACAGTATCCATGAATCAGCCATGAGAAGAGTAATGTTTCCGTAGTTGGTTATTTGAATTCAACTTTACTGCTCTCCTTTAGACCATTTGGATTACATCTTTACATTGCTCAGTTTTGGTGTATGTGTGTGAGTGTGTGTGTGTGTGTGTGTGTGTGTGTGTGTGTGTGTGTCGGCGGGAGGTTCCTGTTCTTCAGCATCCCACCATTTTTCATTTGGGGCCTTTTGGGAATTGTTATTAAAGAATTTGATTGTAGCATGCAACCGCATCTTCACAGCGTGATGCATTCCTCCCAGTAAATCTCTCCAGAGCATTCAATTTGTGGATTTGTACTCCTGCTGCACTAAAATAAAAAATGTTAATTTCTCGTAGACGGTTACCAGATGATTTTAAATATCTTGCCAAACAGGAATGTCTGTTTCCATGTGAGGGATTTCCATAATAAAATCCTGGCACCATAGCCGAAGAGGATAGTTTTATATAAACAAAGAAAAACAACAGCAAGTATTTTCCCGGAGGACAGTTTTAGCTACGATTTACCAAGGCTGGTTAGTTATTTCTGTCGTATTTTATGCTTTTGTTTTGAAACATAACGCAATTTTACCTGGATGCACTCCCGTGTATTCAAGAATTAGCTCAGTACGTTGACCGGCTCAGCGAAAGGCAAGACCTCCGGAAAGTCAGGAGGCTGCCCCGCCTGGCCCCTTCCCCCACGCACATCTCCGGAGGGGAGAGAAGGGTTAAGGAGTATCGGAGGGGAGCGGAGAGGGGAGGGAGCCCCGAGGAGGCCCGGGAGCAGCGGGCGGCGCCACCAGGTGCTGCCTCCTGCAGCGGCCGGGCGCGCGGCTGGGGATTCGGAGCGGGCTGCGCGGCCGGTTTCTGGGACCTCCGCCGCGAGGAGTGGGCGTGGCCTCGGCCGCGCGGATGCGCGATAGAGAGGCTGGGGGCTTTCCCGTGAGGAGTCGGGGCTGTGGGGTGTGTGCGTAGAAGAGCAAGAGAGGCAGAGGAGGGCAGGAGCAAGGAGGGAGCGAGACGGAGAGACCCAGGGGTGCTCCAGACCCGCACTGAGGCGGGAGAGCGCCTGAGAGAGAGGCCCTCCGAGAGAGTCACCCAGAATCTTTCGGGGGAGCCCAGTGAACGTGGACATGGGGCCTGGCACCGGAGCTGTCCTCAACATGCTACTCCTGTTAGCCACTCAAAACTGGAACAGGGTCATAGCTGGGAATTCCTGTAAGTATACGGCAAAAGATAAAACTTGCGGGGGGCTGGGGGAATCTGTGCAAAACTTTGCTTCTGCTGTTTTATGATTATTATTTGCAACCTGAATTCCTGCAATATTGCTGTCAATGAAGTAGCACTTAAACAATCGTGCACGTATGGCTGGGTCTCCACATGTCTTTTCTCCTGGTCTGGTCAGGATATGCCAAGTGTCATTTCTCTTTTTGTCTACGAGGAGAATCTTATCCTCGGCTTTAAATATTCATTGAGAAAGCTCAAGTTCTAGTAAAACATCAAATTAGCATCTTAACAAGGGAGTAGCCTGTGAATGTCTTCATTTCTGCCTTTTTTAAGATTACTAAATTTTATTGGAATTATGTCTAACAGGAAAACAACTGGCAGACTTTACGTTGTGTTGCATCAGCTTAGATTTTGGAAGTTTGCAATTTGGCAGACTGATAGCTGGCTGTGTCTTCAAAATGTATTGCAGAATTCAGGGGCAAAATCGGTGGAGGTGAATCTCAATAGTGAGAATTGTGCCCTCGCTGCTCAAAGAATGAGCTTTGAGCACTTCTGAAAGAGGGAGCTTGGTTCCTACATTTTAAAGGAAAAACAGTCAGGTGGTTTTTCAAATATATTATTTTTCAGTGGTTGAATTTTTAACTTTATAAGTTGTGATTGAATCTTCGAAGTTAATTGATTCAGGGAAGATTTTTTAAAGACCTTATTTCTAATTTTAATTACCAACCAAAATAATTTGGCAGAATTCCCTTCATCCACTTTTTATTAGAGATAGAAAAAGTTTTAGCAGTTATATTTGCCTTAAAAATACCAAATGGGAGAGTTTTCTTTTTGATGAATGATAAACAGGGTCTGCAAAGTCAACTATCTCTTTCTTGGATTTAAAAGGAAGAGCTCTCTCTGAGGCCTGTTGAGGAATTTATGTCACCACTGTGTTTACCAGGTTTGGTTTTGGAGGAACAAATAAGCCAGTAATCAAGTCTTTGCTGTGGCAGAACCCTTGAGGGCACTAAGGCGCTCTGACATGGGGAAAACATTATAAAATGACCTTACGGCCACAAATCAAATGTCCATCGACACTGCATGGCTACTGTGATTTTGTGTTTCCAGGCAGTATTACCTCACATAATGGCATGGTGTATCTGTCACTCGGAAAGAAGAGAACTTCACTTAGATGCTGCACTGTGTTTCAGATTCAGTTTTAATTTGGTTGTGTAAGAATTCCAAGAGACAGTAAAATTTGCATATTTTCACCTAGTCAGAATCTCAGGATGTTGTAATGGTAGCATTTGACAAGCATTGCAACAAACAATAGCAACACAGACCCTTCCCCCGCCCCGCCCCACACCCAACACGCATACACACAAAGTTTTGTAGAAAAGGCATCATTCATTGCCCAGCTCCTGAAGTTCAACAAAAAAAGAAGGCACTAGAGGTCACTCTTACAATGTGGAGCACATCCCTTGAAGCATCCTTTAAGAAATGCAAAGCTTAAGTCTGGCCAAGACGCATCCTGTCTTTCCTATACACCGCCTGTATTTGTGTATATAATATATTTAGATGATTAATTGGGTTACTAGTTGTTTATGTTTGTATTCTTGAAGTCCAACACAGCAGCTCAACATTCAATAGCTTTCTTTTGTAATATATCTTCTTAGTAAAGGAAAGATAAGCAGCTGAGAATGGCTGAGGAGAGCAGAATATTCCTGGGTGCGTAGCTTTGGCGGGCTCCTGGCTGACCCTTAGAATTTCCATCCTGGTTTTGTATTCTTTAAGTGGTTCGTTCAGGAAGTAGTTTAATGCTCTTCTAAACATTTGACAAACTTAAAGAACCTATACAGTTTTAAATTATTAGGAATACTTAAATATTAGAGTAGGAGTTCCTGGTTACCATGTATGTTGAGTTGACAGTTCTTAAAGTGTGAAAATGCAATTAAATGACCGCATATAAAGTTGCACTTAGTAATTTCTTCTTAATACTACTTTGAAGGTGTAATTTACAGCCATATATATAAAGGGAAAAATTCACTTCCCAATTTTTATTTTATTCTTCAGTATGTAGTGTTTTTTTTTTGGCAGGGGGAGGAAGCAAGACCTACTTATTACCAAGGCACTTCATACATTTTATCCTATTTGAAGAACAAGTATATATCTTCACTAGCAAGGTTGGAATTCAGTGTATGGGCATGTGACTGTCAACCAGCATAAGCATTTTTAAAGTGTTACAATAACTCCAGTAATTCTTCTGGAGAAGACTTTATACTAAAACATGAATGAATCTTGAACACCAATATTAAAATCAGGGACAACTAAATAAGAAGAAAGAAAACTAAAGGTCAGTATGGGTGGGGACTTGATAATATGGGTGAATGTAGTAACCACATTGTATTTTCATGTGAAACCTTCATAAGAGTGTATATCAATAATACCTTAATAAAAAATTAAAAAAAAAAGAACAAAAGGTCGGTCTCTCAGGTGAAGACCAATACCTTTTCCCTGTATTTACAGTTGATTTGCAGGAGCAAATCTGTCACCCACTGAGACACTCCAAGACTGCCCAAGGCTGCCAATGCCTAGTCTTCTTAGAACAGCACGCTGTGAACCAGGGACAGCTCAGGGATCAGGTGTACTTTGATTTAAATGTTAGTTGATCTAATTAATCAATAGGTAGCTTTATATTAGGATTCAGTGCAAACACATATACACTTAACACACATACACACATTCATGTACATGTATATGTGTATGTGTGTATGTATACAAAGAAGCCATCAGTTCACCCATTCTTGATGGTTCTACTTACTCCTCATCTAACCATATAATATGTTGGACAACCACATTCTTTGCCTACTAGCCTTCTATGTGGTATTTCAAAAGCAGTGAACTAGCCCCAGGCCTTTCCTCTCTGTTACAGTCATGATGAGTTTGTTTTTCTACGAGGCATCCCTTCCATGAAAGTTTAGAGACATCTCCCCAGAGAGCTTGCCCTTTGATGAAGCTGCACAGGATCCTTTGGTTTTCTTCACTTGCTGCTAAGAGACATGCACTGAGAAGGGGGACGCCTATTTTGTGATTGTTGTTATGAACCCACAGTGTCCTTCTGAACTTTACGAGATTATTGGGGAAGGAGTTGGCTCATCACAGAAAAGGAACAAGTGTAAGTAAGGCAAGTAAGTGTTCTACTTTTATTTTTACTCGTGCAGATCATGTGATGGTAGCTTTCTGGCCTCAGGCATACTGAGCCTAACTCCGGGAGTATTTAATGCTTACCAGGTAGTTTATGAGTGACCTAATTAGAAGTTAAGTTCTTTATTTTCTCTAAATGAAATAAAAGCTATATCCAATATCTACCCTGAATGAAGCACTAGAATAAGTTAAAATCAGCAGTAGATGAAGGTAATTGCTTAAGTAGATCACCCTGTGGGCTCTGGATGCAACCTGAATGCAACTGGGCCCCTTGTAATTCTTTCTAGAAGCTTCCTTCTTTTCCTCCTCCTCCCCCAAATTCCTTTCCATAGCAAGAAATAACTAGGATGCAACAGTAAAGTACTGATAAAATACAACTATATGATGCAGTGCATAAAGATCTGGCCTTTGGACTTAATGGTGAGAATGTACTTTGATTCCCTTTTCTAAAAGCAATACTGATTTGTGTCCATCAATTTAGTGTATTCTCTTCACTCCTGATTATATGCATCCCAAATAATTTCTGATAATGACAGCCTCCAGCTCTGGGGGTAACATAGCTCATAGCTGACATGGGGATCAAAAATATGACTTTCACATGATACCTAATGCTTACTCCTATAATGAACATTTTTGTTATCTTCTAAAATTAATTTTGGATTTTGTATCATATATAAACAAGTCCTTTATGTGAGTCAATCTCTATATCAAGATTGAATTAATTTATCTCTTCAGTGAAAACAAATTAATAGAATTGCATAACATCAACTGTAAGCTAATGCAGTATTTAGCTCAGACGTTGGCAAAATGTGGCCCATGGGCCAAATCTGGCCCACTGCCTGTTTTGTATAGCCTGTGAGCTAAGAATAGTTTTTACATTTTTATACTTTGGAAAACAATTGAAAAGTGAATTCTTTCTTGGCACAAAAGAATTACATGAAATTCAAATTTCAGTTATCCATTATTCTCATTAGTAGACCTGTATGGCAAAAATTCATACTCAGTTATTATTATATTTTGAGTTTTATCAATAAAATTTTCTTAAAACTGATTTCCTTCTTGTGAATGTAAGGACCTATATAATATTATCTACTGTCTGGGTCTGTATAGAAAAAGCTTCTTGACCCCTGATTTAAATAATATCTAAGGGTGGGACAAGGATGGTATACTACAAATTGTATTGCTGTGATAAAATTTAGTCTTAGTTATTTAGCACACAAATACATACTTGGAGAGTTGTGGTGTTGAAGATAATGGTACCATTGCCAAGAACTGTAACAGCAGATACGTTCACATTAATACCTTCTTGTATGTTCCTCTTAAAGGCTTTCTTGTTCAGAAAGTCTTGTTATTTCAGTGGATGCGAAATCTTTGTCATATTTGTAAAGTTTCAGGAGTTTTGGCTGCTAAATGGGCACTTTCAATTTCAAGTAATTCCATTAGTATAAAGGTCAGTAAAGTGTCTATGTGTAATTGCATTTTAGACATTTTGATTGAAAATTTTGCTGTTATTTCATACTTTCATGAGTGTAAAATAGTCCCTACAAATCAGAAACTTGCATCTGGGGTCACTGATTGTATGAGGGAGGTGATCTTGTCAGGAGAGTGTTCGTGTCCCTGGGACTTTTATAGTAACAGCTCCCTAAAATTCTGAAATTGGAAAACTTTCTAGAATCAATTGAAAAATAGATTTTCATTTAAGCACTGCATGCTGAGAATTCATAATAATTAAGCAGGTGCCTTTCACCTACTCATGCCAACATAATTAATTTTTATGTAAATGCCTTGTCCGTTTGGAATTGTAT